TCCAGGTCTCTCTGGATGACATCCCGTCCTTCTGGTGTGTCAACTGCACCACTCAGCTTGGTGTCATCCGCAAACTTGCTGAGGGTGCACTCGATCTCGTTGTCTAAGTCATTGGTGAAAACATTAAACAGCACTGGTCCCAGTACGGACCCCTGAGGGACACCACTCGTCACCAGTCTCCATCCGGACATCGAGCCATTGACCACTACCCTCTGGACGCGACCATCCAGCCAGTTCCTTATCCACTGAACAGTCCACCCATCAAATCCGTAGCTCTCCAATTTAGAGAGAAGGATGTTGTGGGGGACCGTGTCAAAGGCTTTGCAGAAGTCCAGATAGATGACGTCTGTTGGTTTTCCCTTGTCCACTGATGCTGTCACACCATCATAGAAAGCTACTAGGTTCGTCAGGCAGGACTTGCCCTTGGTGAAGCCATGCTGGCTATCTCAAATTACCTCCCTGGCCTCCATGTGCCTTAGCATAGCTTCTAGGAGGATCTGTTCCATGATCTTCCCAGGCACAGAGGTGAGGCTGACAGGTCGGTAGTTCCCAGGGTCTTCCTTTCTCCCCTTTCTGAAAATGGGCACAATGTTTCCCTTTTTCCAATCACCAGGGACTTCACCTGACTGCCATGACTTTTCAAATATCATGGAGAGGGGCTTGGCGACTACATCGGCCAATTCCCTCAGGACTCTGGGATCATCAGCTTTGTTTTTCTTTGCTCATGCCACAGTGTTTAAATATGGTAGGCAGAGGATCCTCAAGTACTTCGATAACTCTCTGATCTCAAGAAATCATGGGAAAGTGGTCACTTGAGCAAAAAAGGTAGCAATTTTTCAATCACTTTTTGGTATAGAAGCAATCTTACAGTGAGTTGGTTTGAAAGTGGGATTCCGAGTTTGCACATGCAAGTTGAGTGCTTTGAAACAAACTGCCCTCTAGAGGAGGGGTAAAAAGATTTTTCGTGGACCTGCAATTCTGAAAAATTAATCTGGGGAAATGTTAAATAGCTGTGGCTTTCAAAATACTCAAAAGACCAGCAAGTTAAACATTTAATTTTATTTGGGAGTGAGGCCATAGGGTGTAGGATCCCTAATGCTGATCTCCCTCTTTACCTTCTCTGTCATGTGCTCTACACCACAGGCAAACTCAAGCAGTGGAGGTCAATGCTGTCAATGCCAGGTGAGGCAACCACAAGCAGCGGGTAGGAAGCTATTTGCTGCGCTCTCCTGGGCCGGGTAGGTGCTGTGGTCTTCAGTTTGCCTTGTGACATACTTCTGGGTGTTTTTAGTACAGCATGCGGGATCACCACCATGAAATGAGGTTAACACCTGCAGAGCAATTAATCTTTTTCTAAATCCTAGTAAGTAAATCAATGGGAAAACACGAGCTTTAGGCAGTAGCAATACTCAGGGCTTGGGCTTGTGTATTTAAAAGCAAAATGGCACAGCAGGTGGCAGCAGCGTCTCCCCAGATCCTCTGCATCTCTCTGTCGAAGTATCCAACCTCTCTGCAGTTACCTGTCCAGGACAGACCCTGCTAGCCACAGACACAGGTGGAGGCCACCCTGCCTTTCACCTGCAGCCGGGAGGGAAGCCAGCAGCTTTGCCTCTAACCTGTCAGACTTTCCTTTCCTGTGCTTTGCCAGTGGCAGGCTCCCATTTCAAATATTTCCACCAGCACCAGCCTGCTGGTCAGCCTCACAAGAAGTGTTCACGTAGGTCC